TTTTACCGTACTGTCAACATACTCAAACCAAACCAAACCAGACCACATCACTATTGACATGTCTAGCTTGGTTCAGATATGTGTCACATTAAAAATTGATCATATCTAAATTTTTAGAAAATTGATAAGTCCTGTTCATTTAAAAAAAATACCAAAAACCGTATTGCACCAGATATATAGCATAAATTACTAAATGTAGGTTCAAAAAAGACTAATTTACACAATGCATTATTAAATTTTAAATTTTTGCACTTTGCACTCTAGTAAGACAAAAAATCAAAAGATGCTAGAGTGCAAAGTGCAAAAATTTAGAATTTAAAGATATATTGTGCAAATCACCCTTCAAAAAAGTATAATCACCTTGGGCGGAAGAGTAGTTCCATGGCCAAAATGGAGTGGATCAGAAGTAAGTGGGTCTAAATAAAACATCAAAGGACGATATGTAAATAACTGAAAAAAAAAATAGAAGATGAAAATAAAATCAGGGAAAATGCTGTGAAATAAACTACGTACTTGGGTAAAATTGGAAGAGCTGCGTGGCTTAATTTGGAGGCGATACCCAATCGAGCAAGAGCTCGCCAACCATTAACCTGTATGATGGTGGCTGCTCTCTGTCTTTTCTGTTCGTATTTGATTAACATTTATATATTTACAATTAATCAATCATATACAACAATTATTCTAACAAAATAAAACTTTTCTAGTTTAGATAAAAAATGACTTAACAATAAATAAATTTTTTTTAAAAATCAGTTTTGGAATAATACTAATAAAGACATGTGAAGAGAACGGGTACGTAGTAGCAAGGCCGCAGATGCCACCGCCGACCATAACAATGTCTTTCCCATGGCCAACTTCACGTTCTATTCCTCCCCCTCCTCCTCTTTCTTCTTTTTCTTGCTCTCTTTCTCTTGGTTTCAGAGACTCTTTCTTTATGCTTTCTTTTTAATGGGTTTTCAAGGCATAAGATTTAAATAATAATAATAAATGAAAAGCAAAAAATTAACTAATTAACTTCCATTTTCCTTCATTCCTTATGTAAGTGGAATTATAAAGTTGTCCACTTAAACGAAATTTTCATTCTTTCAATTTTTTAATGGAAAGATGAATAAACCAGGCTTACATTCATGTTTCATTCTTTGCTTTGTAGGCATTAATTAATTGTGATTATTCCACCATAAAAAAGAGAAATTTTGTGGCCATTATCAATATATACAACCAACTTAGTAAGTAATTAAACTACATATATAAACTTGTGGATATTTTTTTAGTGTGGACAATTCTAAACGGGTAAAAAGCCTGATTATTGGGAATTGAGAGGCATGCATTTTCGACGACCATGGTAATCCAATTTAAATAATATATTGTAAGTATCCCCACCTAATAAATATTTATCCATAATTGAATTTTATTGCAATGTTCTTGAAGTGGTATTTTGTCTGTCTCCTAAAATTTGTGCCTTTGTCTATGTATGAGAGAGACAGCCAAAGCTATGTATATATATAGAGAGAGAGAGAGAAGAATCACTCATGAATACACGATAAAGGAATCAGATTATTATAAAATAAATAATAATAATAATAATAATAATAATAATGTATTCCTAGATCAATAATGCTTTCTCTCAAACCAAAATAAAAAATGGCGAACAACGAAATGGTACAAAATAAAATCAATGAACGGGCTTTGGACATGGCTTAGCCGTTGCACCCCAATTAAGTATGTAAACGGGTCGGATTCGGATCAAATCAGGCTGATCCGAATCCGAATCCGATTATCAATGTATATATTCGAATCTGACCCGAAATCTTATAGGATTTCTAATTGTTATTACCGAATCCGAATCCGATAAAAATCCGAAATCCAATAAAAAAATCCGATCCAAATAACTGTTAATAATAATTAAAATCAAATAATCAATAAGTAAAAGATATATAAAATCAAATAAATTATTATATATGAATGATAAAAATTCATGTAAGATTTATGTTTAATTATTTTTATTTTATTAAAATATAAATAAAATTAAAAAATAAATTGTTATTTATGAATGATAAAGAAGAACTTTTGTTATATAATATATTATAAAAGTGATGATAGGATTCCAATTTTTTATAAAACTATCAAGTTTTATTTGTATTATTGTTAGAACTTAGAAAATTTTATAATCAATTTATTCAAGTGTTTCATGAAATTTCAAAAGTAATTAATTATTAAAAATAATACCTACCAGAAAAACTAAAATTATGAAAAATAAAAGAATATTATAAAATAGTTTAGAAAAAATATACATTATTCTATTAAATAAAATATCTCACAAATACAAATTAGTATATTATTAATTATAATGTTGTATATATTATATTATATATAAAAGTATTTATTAATATACATAATTATTAATTAAATAAAAATTATTATTAAATTATTCAGATTCGGATTTTTAATGGATCGGATTGCTTAATTCCATATCCGATCTACTTATTTCGGATTATGAATATTTATAATTGAATTTAATCCATCGGACATTTTAATCAGTTAAACGGCTTAAAATTCGAATTGGATTTGGATCGAATTCGGATTAAAATCCAACTCATTAACAACTCTACCCCCAATTAGGGTTCTGGCTTTTCATGCCGGCTCAGAAGCTTAACAAAGTTAAGCTATGCAATTAAAAGCGACAAGGCCTGCCTAATATTTATAAACTGGGGAAAAGAGGACAAGAAAGAGACGTAAGGAATTGGCGAGAATTAAGTGTATTCAATTGCTGAATAATTATAAATAGTTCATGTACTAGCAGCAATAACATTTTTTTTAGAATACTAAGTTTAAGTACACTCACTTATTCAATCAAGGCAACATCTCAAACTCCTTTTACATCACAGCTTGCCACAGTCATATTTAGTATGAAGAGCTATGTTGTTAAAGAGAACAACCATTAAAATGACAATAACAAATTTCACCACCATCGACGAGGATTGCCATAATAAACCAATAAGAAATGATTGTGTTGACAATCTCGCAACCCTCATCTTCCGCTCTTTCAGATATTGATCTATTGCTGCTTCGATATTGTGCATAACCTTTCCATTTTCATCTGTTATTGGGTCAATGAAACTCAACTTCTGCGATAAACATCTAGCAAGCACGATTGCATCTTCTAAACCTGCAGAGCCACCTTGCCCTAGAAAATGACCCATCACGTGCATGGCATCCCCGGCTACCGTAACAGTTCCTTTGCGAAAGTTTCCTGTTAAGAGCTCCCATGGTGCACGATACCTCAAACGTGCGAAAGATAATGACTCTAGGTCACTACATTCCACCATTTGAATGATTTCTTCTGGGAAACTATTGATGGCATGTAGGGTTAACTGCTTCACATACTCCGGATTTTTTGAAATATTTTCACCTGTCATGTTGTTGTATCCAAAAAAATATGAAAATCAAACAGAAAGACAAAGAAAGTGATGAAACTCTTTCCTAACTTCAGCAGAGAGAAGATTTCTACCTTTAGGAGATCCTTGCTGAGTTATCAACCAGTGAACTAACTTCTCGCCAATTGGAACACGTCCTACCACAACGTTGTTTTTGTAAGTTTGAACAAATTCATGGGAAAATGGATGACCAATTGGATAATAAGTCATGCCTCTCGTTGTTAAAAGGCCAAATACTCCAGTAGGCTTTAAGTTGAGGAAGTTGGAAACGGCCGACCTTGCTCCATCGCATCCAATTACAAGCTAGAAGATAGACAATTACATGGTCCAAAAACAAGAAACATAGACGTTCTGTTAATGACCGTTTCCTCGATATTTTTATCTGAAGTTTTCCAAGTGTGACCTTTATGGAGGAAAAGGTCTTAAAGTCTAATTAAAAGCAATTAAAAAATAAAGGATTTGGTTAAACATTGTAAATAGTATGCATTAGCATGCATGGTGATGCATATAATAGATATTTACAATGATTGGTCCTTTATTTGAATTATTTTTTTGATTATGTCCCAAAACTTAGTTTCTTACCACCTAAGGTCCTTTGCTGGAAACTTTTTATAAAAAAAGAAAAAGAAAAAAAAAAACCATTTCTTAGTTCATTTAGAGAAAAAAAAATGTCACCCTATCTAACTACCCATTCTCTTCATTTTTTTAATTTCTTTTAGTATTACTAACCATTCCAAAATTTCTTGTGTTTTCCAAAGTTTAAACTCAAAATCTTTGGTTAATTTTTGGACTTTTTTAAAGCGAGAATCTTGATTAAATTTTAGATTGTAGTAAGCCAACTTCCTTTATTTGGTGCGCGGGTGATAGATAAATTAGGAAGATATTCACGCATTCTGTCTTATTAATTACAGTTAAGTACTTAAAATTAATACAAATAAATTTGGAAGGAGTTACCTTTGCCATAATAGTATTACCATCCTGAAGATGAAGAATTGGGTAAGAAGTCGAAGGATGGAGCTCGACGAAGACTACTTGACATCCGAAACGTATCGCATCAGGCGGCAAAGCATCAGCTAGCGCGTTCACCAGATCACTTCGCCTCAAGCATCGATTTTCCCCACTCCACCTAACATAATTAATTTAATTAATTAACTAATTATGCTTTAGATTAATTAATGTATATTAGTAAAACCAAGAAATAAAAATAAAAAATAGAATCAAAAGTTGGAGATATTTACTCCGCAGATATTTCCTTCGCCTTCTTATCAAGCCATATCTCTCGAGCCCTGTGGACAATCAGCAAAGGCATGTCTCCAAGCATTGAATTCATAAACAAGGAACAAGTGTGCTATTAATTAAATCCGACTTTTTGTTATTTTTTCTCTAGCTCAAGATTAATTGTGTATGCCTAACAAAGCTCGCCAGTTAATTAATCCGATGAGTCAGTGACAGAAAATAATTAAACAAAAATGTATTAAAAAAATACCCCTGAACTGGGATAGCAGTTTGACGGAGACGATCGGCGACGCCGAGCTGCTCCAGGGCTCGCCATCCGTTATCCAGTATTCCGATGGCTGCTCCACTTGCCCTCAGTATCTCCGATTTCTCTAGTACCAAGCTGTTTATTCCTTTCCTGCGTTTGCATTTGATTCATTTCGTAATTGATACAAGTAATTTTCCATCAATTTCATTATTCTAAAAGAAAATTAAAATGATCAGATGGCCATCAGAATGAGAGAGGAGCAACCTATGCAAAGCAAGGGCGGTGGCGAGGCCACAAATCCCACCCCCGACAATCACTATCTCATTCTCAGGCTCAAGTCGCTGCATCTTTTGCTGCGGTTGCTGTCTGTCTTCTCTCCTGTGTGTTGTCATGGCGCTGTCCTATCATCTTATAGATCCAACTATGACGTAAATACCCATTTGGTCCCTAAAGTAAAGTATAATTAAAAAAATCAAAAATAGTAAATTTCGTCAAAATTTAGAAATTTGGGAGTAAATAGAAAGAAAATTTATTCTTTACATGAATTTACAGTGTGCGGAGAAAAGAAATAGATAGAGAGTTAATTATTAGAGACAAATTTATTAGGTGTTTCCATATAAATCAAATGTTGAAGAAAAGCAAACTAGGGGTATTCATGATTTTTAAAATCATACCGAACTGAACTGCACTATATCGAAAGTTAGATTTTTTTAAAAAAAAAAATTTATAAGTTTTGGTATTAAATAATATCGTACCAAATATTTTGGTACAATTTTAATTTTATAAATTCAAAATCAAAAAAAACTATACCAGATTGAATATTATATATAATAATTTATTAAATTATTTATATTATATATAAAATGATTAAATTTCAAAGTATTAACTATAATTCAATAGCAAATTAAAGAAATTAAAAGATTAAGGACTTTTATGAAAAAGAAGCATAAATGTTATGGATTAAAGTGTAAAAAGGATTCTAATAAATATTTTATACGCTTACAAATAATTTATTAACTTATATATTTATTAGAAAATGAGATCATTCTTTTTTATTTTTTCTTTTATTATCAATTTTATATTATAATATAGTACATCACTTACTAATTTATCACCTAATTTAAATTTCATAAATTACCGAACACATAATAAACACTAACTTTAAAAAAAAATTTCTTAAATACACTTTTTCATTATAAATAAATAAAAAGTTTCCCTTAACATATCTAAAAAATAGTTCTAGAAAAAAATTACATGTAAAGAAATTTGAACTAAGTATTGCACTTTTTTTACCATTAAAAATCTTAAATTAAAAAAAAAATACCATTGCCAAATAAATACAAATAATTGAGAATTAAATTTCAGTTTTTAAAATAGAAATTGTTGAATTTTATATTTTAACTATCAATAAAATTAAGTGTAAAATAATGAATATATATTTAAAGAAAATTAAAATTAAAATTTAAACTATACCGTACTCATATATAATGCATAATAATTTATTAAATTATTTATATTATATGTAAAATTATTAAATTTCTAAATAATTGAATTATAAGTTATTAATTAAAGTATTTATATTATATGTAAGTTAATTAAATCATCTAATAATGATAGATTTTTAATTGAATTGATTAAAAGTTCATATTAAATTAGGTTAAACAAAATTAACTTTTTCATTGTTTTTATATGATTTTTAATTTGTTTCTAATCTATTGTGAGATCAAGAATATAAAGTTATAGATGATTATTAATAAAAGTTTTGAAATTAAATCCTTAAATGCAGCAAATTATTAACATTATATAATCTTGAAATAATTTGATTTTTTCATATTAGTTATATACTAAAAGAATCTTTTCGTGTGTTTGTAAAATTTTTATTAGTTTACTTAAATATTTTAATATAATTAAAAAATTATAGAAACTATACCGAACCGTATCAAAATCGAATAAAACTGAAGTAACGATATCGGTATCAAAAAGTATGATTTTGGTTTTAACATTAAAAAAATTGAAATAATTGGTATGATATAATTTTATGAAAAAATCAGAAAAACGGAACCATAAACACCTCTAAAGGAAACCTAAAAAATTCCATCTTGCAAATTAGTTCAATTTGTAATATTAGAAAATTTATATTTATTACGGCAGTATTAAAAAAAAAGAGTAAATTTTATTAAAAATAACATATACATATAATATATTCAAATTTAGAAATTTGGAGGTAAATAGAAAGAAAATTTATTCTTTACTGATTTTGCCTAGATATGTTCTCTATATGGCAAATAATAACTGTAATCAACTTTTAGCATGTTATATTATTTTTATATGATATATAGAGCTTACAATGTGTGTGTGTGAAATGTATAATTATTACACTACAAAAAAAATGCATAAATTATGGTGATTACTACTAATCATCATAATTTTAGTATATTTAGGTGATTATTATGGTGGTTTATATAACTACCATTTTATATCATGTAAATTACAATGGGTCTTCAATAAAATGGTGGTTAAACAGTCATTTTTAATTAATATTTAAAAATATTATAATTTACTATTTTTTCTTTTTATTTATGTTTAATAAAATTTGAAAGCCTAACAACAATAATCTTACAGCTGCTTTGGTTCAATCTCTCAATCTCTTGCATTACAACTCCCTGCTCTCGATGGCACACGAAAGAGACAAAGCTCTTGATCCATGACCACCAATCGTCAGCATCTTATTCTTCTTCTCTGATCATGTTTCAAGTTGGTGTGCCTCTCAGTTTTACATCTTGCATCTCAAGTAGAAGGTATCTTTGAGCCGCAGTTTTGGTTTCACTTGTTTTTATTTGCGTAACGTCAATTTAAGCCCTAGTTTCGATGTTTGAATGAAACTCAATCAAGCTCAAACTCGTGTAGGCTAGTCAATAATCCCTCAATCCATCTTTGACTCTAGTGCACCTTTGGGCAACAATTTTTGATCATTTTCCTATCTTATCTTCGCTCCCTTTCTCTCTTTATCTCTCCGTATGTGTGTGTCTATATGTATCAAACTACTTTGCTCTTATTTGATTCTACAATTTTCACAGTTTTGGTTAGATATCTCAAGCTAGTGGATGAAGATAGTCGTAAGTGGATTGCTATAACAATTATATTGGAGGTATTAGTTGTGGAGTTTCTAGGCAATTTGACTACCAGAAAGGAAAGTGTAGAAAATTTCTAAAAGTTTCTTTGTTTCCTTTCCGTAATTTTGTCACACCCCGCCCATCTCTCCGCTATGGCGAGATGCAACAGTTAAGGCAACGGCCAACACCTACCGGTGATAAAAATCTAACAACATGTCAGTTGTTATAACTCCTTTTCTTAAAAGTTAACCTATATTCCTAGTAGCCAAACCAATAATAATATCTTGGAACCTAGGCATGCCATACACACACACACATCATTATCATTACTTGTAATTTAAAATTTATGTACAATACTCTATCGTACTCTGTACCCCTACACTACAACTCTCATACTCATGCTATGACTAAACAAGTGAAAATAATAAAATAACCCTCCAATGATTCTTGCGAGCTCACCTCGACTAACGTGCAGTGTAGGCACAAACTGTGCTAGTCGGTAATGGAGCTACTATGTGAAATCTAAAATTTAGGAATAAAGAGTAAGATCAAGTCTTAGTGAATGGCATATAAATTAAACTTAACAGAAATATAATAGTTTTAATTTCTTATAATGTACATGTATATAACATCATCAAGAAAACTGTACAGGATGGAAATCATTAACCAAAACATCACAACAAGTTTGTTGTGTCATCTAGGCATAAGATCATAGGATTGAAATATCATAAAAAATAAAATCTTTGTCTGATCAAGGCATTCCATAACATAGTTAAAATAGAGATATAAAAACATTAAAGGACTACAAGAATCAAGATCATAAGCCATGTGGTAGGTAGTTTGATGGAATATGCACAATTCACAATATTATATTTGAGGGTAGTAAAGCATAAAAATATAAAATCATAGAAAATGCTGGATGCTACTACACTATGTAGCCTAAGTCGTAGGTCACAACTCTGGGTCAAACTACACAGTCTGTGGTGTTTGAGATCTCCCCGAGTCTAATGCCAAAATAAAGGCTGTAAGATTGCCACCTACCCCAGATGACTGTCTGGCATTCAAGTCTAGTTGTTGAGGTACAAAAATGACATAACATCATAAATATCATACACATACATTGGAAATCAGAATATAAACATTCTGTTTCTAGGTTTTGCCATACTAAATATACTCATGGGTTTGAAATCAAGTTTGTAATCATTCATAAGATATACATGTTAAGTTAAAAAATCTAAGTTTAAAATATGTGCCACTCACCGAGTGATATACCCTATGTATAACTCATGGGCTCGGACAAGCCAATGTGAGGCTCAACTTGGTCTCTTTCTCCTACAAATGAAGAGAATGCTCATAAGTGGAATGTAATGAGATGGGAATGCAAATACATGTCAAGCACTAAGAATACTATAAATGCCAAGTTTTTCTTTCATTAACATTGAGATCATATTATTCTCATAGTTATTTAGGGGCTTAACTCTTAAGTTGGTTTGTATTATAGCCTTATTTCTTCTTTACATTCATGTCTATATTTCAATCCCTCTTTGGTCTCTAAAATTATCTCTTTCGCCCTCTTTCCAAGGCTCATAATCCTTTTAACACCTCTTCCCCCAAACAGAATTTCTACTTAGAAAAATTCTGCATACAAATTAGGATTTGCTTAAATGAGCATATTTTGGACTTAATTTGTGGCTTTTCTAGCTTATTTTTGTTAGGGTAACTTAGCTATTCCCTAGACCACTTATCAATATTGGTTTGGGATACACTTTGCCCTCTTAACTAGTCCCAACACATCGATGTAGCTATAGAATTCCTACTGTTAAAAAAAAAAATTCTGCACATTCTTTTTTGTTTTTTGGTTAGGTTCTCATGTCATTTTTGAGTTAAAAGTTGAGTTCTACTTAGTTTTTCATCAAGTTAACTTACTTCATCTTTAGACTATGTTTCGCATTTGGTCCTAATCCCTTTTAATCCCTCCAAATTTTAGTCTAAACCTGGTTTAGCGGCAGAAATTCTGCTGTCAAAATTTTTCAGCATAGTTCCATTCACTTTTCTAAGTTAATTCATAAAATTTGAGCTACATACTCCAAGCTTCTTTCAATTTCTCTTTTAGGGTGACCAAATCAATATTTAAATGACACATTATACTTGAATTTGAAGTTCCTTCTAGCTTCCAATATCTAGCCAACTTATTTCAGTAACAGCTTCACTGCTAGAAATTTTTCAACTTGATAGTTTTTCAAATTCCCTCACAGGGACTATTCTAACCTATTTATTTG